TAGTAGTTTTAAAAAGTACAGGTTCTTGACTTACAAGACTTATTTGTCTTCTAAGCCAAATTAAATTAAGAGATTTACACCACCAGAAAGAGGATCATAGAAACGAAGTATGAGAGATACAATCGTACTTTTGCCAGAACCTGAAGAACCAACAAGAGCAACTGTAGAACCAGGCTCAATATCCAATGATAAATTATTTAAAGTTTTAACATCAGGGCGAGTCGGATAAATGAAATTTATATCTTTAAGCTGAATATGGCCAACAACATCTTTCGGCTTATCGCCTATATCAGAAGCGATATCAATTGATGGAATACGATCAATAGTTTCAAATATTTTTGAATTTCGCCAGCAGCAAGGCTAAGAGCCTGAATTTCGAGGAAAAAATGAGAAAGACCGGTAGATCCAAGTAAAATCACAAAGAATACATTAGTGATCTTTAAAACAAAAAATAAAAGTAAATTAATCTGTAACCATCATTGATTTTAAATAAATTAATAGCGGAGGAAAAAAAGAACATTTACTTGTCCGGAAGATATTTCATTATTAAGAATCAGTGTAGAACCAAACCAGAAGGCCAAAGAATAAGATGCATAGATGCAAAAGAAACTCGCACCAATAGTCAAACCATGCATCAAAGATTTTTTATTCTCCTCTTTTTTTGCATCACTTAAGTAAGAATCATAAAGTTTAGAAAGTTTCTTTTGAGCACCAAAGGCTACTGCAGTTCTGATGGTTGAAATAGCTTCTTCGGCAATTTTTCCAGCACGAGAATAGAAACTCGAGCTTCTTTTCGTAAAAATCGCACCATATTTATTCATTAAAACACTAATGATAGCAATTAAATTGTTAAGGCAGATTATCACGAGTGTCATTTTCCAACTTATAGTAAACGCGATAATGAGTGATGCAATGAATTGTATAATACTGAAAAAGGAGTAAAAAATAAACATATACAAAAATGATGGTAAAAAGAAAAAAATCAATAAATAAATAATCAAGCAAAATTAATAAATTAGTAAATTATTAAAAACACAATTTTACATATACATCATAAGCTTACTTGAAGAGAGAGAGGAACTTTTTCACTGATACCATCTTTAATGCGAGTAGAAACTTCGCCTGAGCCATATTTATCAAAATAAGCTATGTTTTGTCTAAGAATTGCGCGAAGATATTGTTCACGAATTTGCCTTGCGATTCTGAAAATATCGAGTATCATTTTTGAATGATCGAAAAAAATTGATATTAAGACTATATAAAATATTACCTTTCACCAGTATATGCTCAAGTTATTATAGATATATACGTAGCAACGAAAATGGCAATGGCGGCGCATAAAAGAATTAATGCAATGTGGTTTACATCTACAGTAAAAACATTTATGCTTATAGTGTGATTTTGAAAACGGGTATAATCATCGATCATTATTCCGATCATGGTCGTCACTATAGGCTGCGAATTTATATTGAATATCATAAATTGAGAATTTTAGAAATATAAATTGCGTAAAAAGAGAAGTATTATGCACGTACCATGATGACTCCTGTGACTATTGAAAACACTAATCCAATAAACATTATTATCCAGTCAAGTTTTGTAGCAAATCGATATAAAGTAATATATGATTCTTTTCTTTCAGGAGCATCAATCTGATCCTTTAAAATTCGTTCTTCTTCCGGATCAAGCTTTATATCAGATGATTCTTCAATTGGTATCGCTGTATTGATTTCAGTCATCTTCGAAATTTATATCAAAAATATATATATATTTTTTTTAAATAATAAGATTTAAAATTCTTTTCAATTAGTTAAAAAAGCTATTTCTGTTGAGACTTGAGGAAATTTATATTATACTAAGAATAGAATAATTTTATTTATATTTTTTTATTTATTAAAATTATAACATTTTGAAATTCTTTTCAAAACAGCTAGAAAAATCTTATTTTAAATAAGATTCGAAGAAATTATAACTTGTATTATATATGGTATTCATTTTATAATTCTGGAGGAAGATACATGTTATTTTTGGATTTTATAATACCGTATTAAATAATTTCTACTATAAATCTTGAAAATAATGATTTGAAACAAGTCGAAAATTGACTACGTACATTTGCACGTGAAAAGATTACCGAAAATTGGCACTACTTAAAAAGTAATTTTTATTACCTATTTAATGTAGATAGTTTCTTAAATAATCCCAATTCTTTTTAACTTCAGCTTTATTATTTAAGGTAATAATGAAATTATTGAAAATTAATTAGCGTTGGATCTGATTGTACACCGATAATTTAAAATTTTGATTTGTACAACCATTAATATTAAGAAATTCGAATTATTGTCAATAAAACGTAGTAGATCATTGTTAAGCTTATCAGTTATCGCTATGTGTATCCTATTTGGTTCATTTCTTAAAGGGGACACTTCATCACATCACATTGAAATCAAGCAATGACGTCTTTGTTTACTAGCACTAAAAAAATTAGCCTAAACTATCCTATCACCTAACCCTTAAGACTAACCCTAACTTAGGCCGAACATTTGATCATGTGATGTGATGACCACGAAAATATCACTGGGTTCCTTGTTCTTGAAACTACCCGTCAGGGTGATCTAGGTCTGTGGGGATGTTAAAGCGGAGTGTATCGTCTTGATGCATTTAGGGCCGCCAAGGGGAAACCTGTCATCGGACTTTCGAGTACAGTTAGCCGCCTATGGAAAATCTATCATAATGATAGATTCTTAGATGGATAACTGTACACAAAATATAATCGAAAGTCCAATGACAGGTTTTCCCTTGGCGGCACTTATATTTAATTAACTTGGTGATACGGACTGGATTTTTACCGGGCAATCCCCAAATTTTCCGAGTCGAAATGCATCGGAGTTGGGTTTGGGTTAAGGACCTGTAGTAAAATTATCGGCTGTGCATATTTTACTTAATGAACGGAACGACAGTAACATTTTATTTGATGCTTATTTTGGGGTATTTCTGGTTATTTCTGAATTTGTTTGGTTAACCTTAAAATTGTGAGTAATACGTACAGTTCTAGTACTTATGTACTGTTCCCAAAAAATGGTTTTATCTAATTTATGTACTTATAGAAAGGATAAAATAAAATAAAGAAAGTAGGACTGTGCTTTTTTAAGTAAATGTTTGTGAAATATTGCCTTTTTTTTAGACAATAAATAAGGTAAAAAATGGTCACTGACTCTTACGTGATTTTCGATTTAATATTGTGAATCGACGATCTGTATGATTTTTTTTTGTCTTGAGCCCTGCAATTACGCACAATACGGTAAATTATTTCATATACTTACACTACATGGCTCATTAAAATATGTCTACGAAAATTATGCGCATAATTCTCAAAATCACTAGTTCTAATAATAATAGACAGGTTTGAATATTTGTTTAGAGGTGGCTTTTATGTAAAAAACAAGGAATAATTTTATCGTATGCGATTATATTTCCTAGAGATGTTACAATTACCTATGTAAGTTTGACAAAGAACAAGAAGTCTACCTACATACATATATGAATTTGTCGAAGTATAGGATAATATTTGATAAAATAAATTCACCTTATAAACAATTATATAAGTAAATAAATACTAAAAGTTATTTAATGCATTAATTCTTGAAAAAAAGATTTCTTGGAAAAAATATTTTTTGGAGAATAATTTTAACATAACGTTATGACAAGAACTCCCAAGTGCGTTCCACGCGTCCCTCCAAAGGATCAGCAAGTTGATTTAACGCTGCTGAAGTTAAAGAAAGATCATTCGTTCACATCCTGTACATCGATCCACAACTGTGACTATGACTGATTTTGAATCTCTAGTCACTTTAATCTTTCTACCACAGTTTGGATTATTATTTGGATTATCACCGAATCTTTCTATTGATATGCACAAACCAAATCACTGCTCATATTTTGAACACCGCATATACCAAGGCCAAGGCCTGCATCAAAAAATCAAACACTTCCTGTAAATTTTTCTTCTCGTTTTGAATAATGGGTAAAACTTCTATGCTCTAGCTCATTATTCAGACTATCCAATTTATAAGCATTACTAAGATGAACAAAGAAATTGGCATAAAAAAAAAAGTCAGGTATATAATAACTTTGAGGGCATCATTTTTTTTTTTTGAGAGAGAGTTGCAAATACTAAATGATAATATGAAGTAATTATAATAACAAATATTAACAGTTTTTCTGTAGAAAGTAGAGAAAAACTGGCCCTTTATATGTGTATGAATGATATAACAAAATTTTTGAATACTGTGATCACTATAGTACGTTGTTACTATTTAAAGTTAGATGTTAAATCGCAAAAAACAAAGTTACAGAACAAAATTTATATTTTAAGAAAAAAATTTAACAATTAATTTACCAATTTATTTAATAATTTTCCAAAGTGATCCAAGTAACGATAGTTATTGCGCCCGGATAAAGTTTTGATAAGAATATATAACAATTTATTTGGATGACTCATACATTTTAATAGTACCCAAGTGGCGTTTTTTTCTATGGATATAATCCCTGAGTAATGAGTACAAGTAATTTAGACAAGAAAAAATAATTATTTTTTTACAATTAATATAAAAACATTTCTATAAGTTTGAAATAATGGTAATAAAGAATCAATTTATATCAAGTTTCAACAAAAAAAATCAAAAAGTGCGCCCATACATCTAAAAAAATAACTAATTTTATAAAAAAGAGTGTCTCTACTAATGAACATATGAAAATCTTAATGTCCGATTATTAAAAAAAATTATGTGACCATATATAATTTCGTACATATGTACATAATCAGTCATATTTCTACATACAATATATATTATGCTTAGGGTTTAGGGGCAAAATTTTGTTCGCCTTTCGCACAATGTTCCAGAAATGAAAAATTATATAGATATTTATATTAGGAAGAATAAATATTGTTATTTTTTATTTTATTATTTATTTTTGTTTTATTTTTATTTTATTTGTTTTTTTTTATTTTTTACTTTATTTTTGAATATAAATTTTTTTAGAAAATAAGACATCCCTTATTTTAATTCTCCTGCTGTTTTACATCAAATTAGGACCATTATAATTTAGCTAATATCCAACATAGCTCCCAACCTAACCTCAATAAAATCTCAGGATATGACGCAAATTTTAATTTGATGCATAACATTATTATTATTTTCATCATAATTTCTCCTTTAACATAGATTTTTATAATTACAATTTCTCCTCATATATAATTATATCATAACTATGTAACTGTAGTACTGAAAGAGCTGGGATTAGTTTTAACTCCATTCAGAGACATGAAAAATTTTGAAATAAAATTTTCCAAATTTTGGCCAAATTTTTTTAGGTTTATGTGAGCTGGCCAATAAAGATCAAAGCGTTAGGGACCCAAAAACTTTTGGGCCCAAAATTATTAAAAAAGGTTCTGTTGTGGACTTTTAAGAATGTGATAAATATATGCAGTCTAAGTGTAAGTCAACGGGCCAGCAAAATATCTTGCATTTAGAGAGAACTTGCACTTAAAGAAAACTAAATTAATATATAATTAA